ACACACACACACACACACACTCACACACGGTGATTAGAGATAAAGGTCTGGAAGGCACTATCCCTAGACAAGGATTCTGGGCTGCTACTGAGGTCCCCAGAACTCTCCTTGTGTCTCTGCTGCCTCAGGCCCTGTCAGTCAGTTTTTCCTTTGGGTAAACTTGATGGACTCCTCCAGTTCAGTGGGCTGACCGGTTGCCTCTAATGTCCTTACAGGAATCTTTGGGACCTGTAGATGCTACCTTATTCAGAACATTGGCCTTTACCATTGTGATCAAAAGGACCCTGAGATGACATTACCTTGGATCACTCCCCATGGGCCCTCAATGTCATCAAAGGGATCTTTAGGGGAGAAAAGTTTTGTGAAATTTCACACACCCTGGAAAGTGTGATGTGATGCCTGGGACAGAGATGGGAGTGAGGCTGACAACTGAGGAGGTTTCTGTGGGGTCGGGACTCCCCCCTACAGTTCCCAGAAGCAAAGCCCTGCTAACAACTTGATTTTAGACTTCTGGCTATGTGAACTGTGTAAGAATAAATTTGTTGTTTTAAGCCACTGAGTTTGTGGTAACTTGTTACAGAACCACTAAACATGAATATACCTTCCAGTTCAGTCATTTTTTTTTTTTTTGCCAGTTTCTAGTGTTTGCAACCAAAGACTGACACTTGCTACTGTCACTCACAGTTTTCATTATTTGACTGTTTCAAAACTGTTTTCATCTTTGTGTGTTGCTGGGGACTGAACCCAAGGTCTCATGCATGCTAGACAAGTGTTCCCTCACTAAACTACAATCCCAGACCTTTTTATTTTGAAACAGGAACTTACTAAGTTGCCCAGGCTGTCCTTGAACTCACTCTGTAGGCCAGGCTGAACTTGAGATCTTTCTTAGCCTTCCTAACCCTGGGGCTATAGGCCTGTGCCACAAAGCCTGAGGAGTTACACGTTCTGATGATGTGAATTCCAACTGAGTTCTTGTCACATGCAAACTGTGGTACTACCTCAGACAAAGCCTGAGAGGATGTGGACTGTGAGTCACTCTGTTTTATTGATTGCCTACTCTCCCCAGTCACTCAGACTAAATCCAGCAACCAGCTCCAGGCTCGCAGAGGCAGGTGCTTGGGCACGGATCTCTATTTGTGTAACACTTTCCAGCAATCCACTGGGATGGGAGAGAGACACTGCATTGCTTCGAAGATGACAAACAACCTGCAGCAGACTCAAGCCAGACAGTTCTCACCTCATCTGTCCCCACATCACGTTTAGAGTTCCGTTTGAAGGATCAGAGAGTCTGGATGTGTGTTAAGCCACGCCAAAGGAGTGTGGCGGAAGCTCTCCAGTCTGTCCCTCAAGCTGGGCACAGCTGGGCACAGATGTTAGGAGCTGAATATGCTGGAGAGATGATTAGCATGGTGAGCTTCCCAGAGGCCTTTGGCTTAGCTCCTGTCTCTGCTGGAATCTGGAGACCGGGAATCCACGTGTTGGGCATCTGTTGTGTACTCTATTTGGAATACTCTTCCCTGGGACCCATTTTGCCTAATTGCTGTTTTGTCCTTATTAGAGCAGGTTAGACAGTCTGTCACGGCCTCGGGAAAGCATTTTCTGAGGGTCTCAGGTTGTGGACTTTGGAAGAGTACACATGCTTATGGTTTCCTCCCTGGTAAAGTTAACCGTTATGAAAGTTTGTGGCTATTACATTTGAGTCTCTCCACAACTACTTCCCAGTGAGTATGGGGACATTTGTGTTCTCTACCATAACTACCTCTTGAACCTGGTAAGCAGTCAGGCAGAGGGCCAGCAGCCAAGGCAAATCCGACAGGGGTGGGAAGAGGGCTTGTATGGGAGGGGACAGAGGAGAAGCCATGGGAAAGTGGAGAGTGCATACCTCCTCCAAAGGCGTTGAAAAATGTCTAAACAACACTAAAATTACCATTCATCTGAAGGAATGAATGTAGGCCACATGGGAAGCCTTAGCTCAGGACTCTTCCAATAATGATATGCTAAATGAGTGGTAAACCATGGTGGAGTCATTGTTGAAAGTTCCCAAACCAAAGCAGGGCTGGGGACTGGGCCTCCCTTTCAGTGTTGAGCAGGGTCTTTCCCTCTCTCTCTTTCCTCTTTCCTCCCAGTGTCTGGTGCCCAGCAGGCTGTAGCAATTGCTCGGTCTTGGCAATGTGTACTAACCCACCCTGCTCCAGTCCTGGGGGTGAGCCAGGTGATGGCTTCCGCCTTGGGAGTCAGTGTGATGGAACAGATGGGGCCTCAGGGAGGCCCCGAGGATCTAGAAATGGGTGCTTAGCTGCAGTGTGTAAAAAAGTGGGAGCCAGACCCCTTCACAACTTGTTCAGCCAAAAGATTTGGTGGCTTACCTATGTCAAGCATGACAGGACCAGCACTGGCCAAAGGGACAGGAATCTCAAGCATTTGCCTGGGCTAGAGTTCTGTGTTGAACAAGGGAACTTCCAAGGGTGGAATGGGAGTTGTGGTAGTCAGGTTTTATTGCTGTGATAAAGACCATGGCCAAAACCAACTTGGAGAAGAAAAGGTTTATTTGGCTCACATATCCCAGGTCATGGTCCATTGAGGAACGCCAAGGCAGGAACCTGGAGGCAGGAGCTGAACCATGGAGGAACACTGCTTACTAACTGGCTCCCAAGGCTTGTTCAGTTTGCTTTCTTATATACTCCAAGACCACCTGCCTAGGGATGGTACTGCCCACAGTAGGCTGGGCCCTCCCATATCAGCCATTAAGATAATGTCCCACAGGCTTGCCTACAGGTGATCTGATGGAGGTATTTTATCTGTGTCAAGCTAACACAAACCAAGCAGGACAGGACCATGTACAGCAGCCCTCTGCCACCAACAGTTCAAAGCTGAGCTAGTTGTAAGTCAGTGCCTCCTCCGCAATCTTCTCTCTGGGTTGCAAATTGTGACCGATGGGCTAGGTTCTAGTTCTGGGGGCAGGGGTTGGCTACCTTTCCCATAGCAGGTGTAGAGCCAGTTCTAGGTCCCAGAAGGGTCTGTTCAGGTTGTCTCTATAGGTCAGCCCTAGGAAGTAGTACTGAAGATGGTTGTGCTCTTGATCCTATGGATTGCCTGAGGATGCAGCCCCCTTTCCGGGACTTCGTGTTAAAAGCTGATTTCTTCACAGTAGCTCTGTGACATTTGGGTGAGCTTCAGTTCCCTCATCTGTGAAACGGGGATAATTATCTGTCAGCACAGGGCTAAAGGGGCTCATATGGAGGTTGTTCTCTTCCTCCTCTTAGTGCATAACTACTTCAAAGGAGGTTGTGTGCACTTGTGGAATACGGGCAGTATTCTCCTGCTCTGGGCTTTTCTAGGTCTCATTGCTCCGGTGGATGGATGACTCCCATGCAGATCTTCAGCAGGGGAGGACTCTGCTCTGTTAGCTGACTCTGGAGCTGTGGGGAGGGAGTGCAGAGCCCTGGTTTTAACAACTCTGAGGTTTCGCAGTCTCACTGGGGGCCTGGGTCTCCAGGTCTGTAGACCGCCCCTCCTGAGAAGTCTCTTGGGATGTTTCCAGAGACACCTCTGATACCCCATCCACGCTGCTCAGCAAGTCCTCAAACGCCCGCTGCCCACTGCTCCGAACTGCTGCCTCCAGTGCCTTCTGGCGCCGGTAGAAGTGGGAAAACTTGTTGAAGATGATGGTGATGGGCAGTGCCACCACCAAGATGCCCCCGAGGATGCAGCCTGAGGCTGCCAGCTTGCCAGCCACAGTCTCCGGCACGACATCCCCATAGCCCACAGTGGTCATGCTCACGGTGCCCCACCACCAGCAGGCAGGGATTGTATCAAAGCCCTCGTTTTCTTCTTCAGCTGTGTAGGCCACACCAGAGAACACTGACACACCCACAGCCAGGTACAGCAGTAAGATGCCCACCTCACGGTAGCTGTGCTGAAAGAAAATGTATGAACCTAAGTCAGCACTATCTGGACTTCCAGGCCTAGTATCACGAGACACTGAGGCTTACAGAGTATAAAATGGTAAAACTGGTGCCAAGACCTTGACTCTGAACTCCACTCTCCCAACTACATTAAGCAACAAAACTCCCTGCGATTGAACGCAGGCCTGACTTCTGTGTACATGGTGCCTGCTTGGCCACACTAATTAGGACCCTGATGTTTTTTGTGCACTGGCAGAACCAAGAGAACCACAGTTTATATTTCATAATGCAAAGAATTGGTTTCATGAATGTTTGAGTTGCTCTACAACATTTCTGACAAGTATTGAAAATATTGTCTGCCCTGCAAGGAAACTGAGAGGGTATGAGTTCCCTAGGCCATCTAAAGAATACACTAGTTTATGGGTGTCTGGTTCTCAAGCAAAACCATCCTGCACACCTTGCCCACCAGGGATGGTTGGAAATACTGGGAGACCTTTTTTTACTTGGAGACCATGTTGGTTGTCATAGTAGGGGCAGGCTGGCATGCATCCATCCATACAGGCCAGGGATAAGGCTTATTATCTCACGGAACATTAGATGCCCTCCTTCCCAATGAAGAATTACCTGTCCTCAAATGTCACCAATTCTGAGAACCCGTTTTCTACAGCAGGATAACATACAAAAGAATTGTGTGGGGGTCTGTTTAAAAGCCAGAACTCAAGTAGGTCTGCAGTAGAGCCAGAGGTTCTGCTTTTCTGGCAAGCTTCTGGGCATTGAGGAAGCTGTTGATGGCCTGGGACCTCACTTTAGCAGTAAGCCCCGCCCCCAGGCTAGGTTAGTCTGTTTCTTGACTCTCATAGCTCTGGTTATCACTCTTCTCTTTCCTTGTCGGCAAAGCCAGGAGCCTTAAGAGAGCTTCTCTGCAAAGTAGACAGGGTTTGGCGAGCATAAGGCTCTTCCCTAGGGTGGTTCTGAATTAGAGGGGTCTGGCTAACATATTTTCCTGTACCTGCTTGGTACCCGAGGGTTCTTCCCCAAGTCACACACCAATGGCTGGTATCCTGGCTGCCATGCATTATCAGGACAAGCAAGATGCTGTCATGAGGGTGGGAGGGACTTGGGAGTGCCTTTCTGGGGATCCTTCACAGGGTTACCTAGTGTTGGGCCCGTCCCCCATAGGGGTCTGCTGACCAGCTTGTGACTAGGAGCTTACCTAGCAGGTACATCCTGTTTTCTTCCTTCCTTGAAGGCCTGAGTGCAAGTTCCTGTTATCCTGTTATTCGCCCATTCAGGATTGCCAGATGGGACTGGGAACCTGAACTTGTTATCTGGGTAGTTTTCCACCATCCCTGCTGACTGATATATAAGCCCCCACTCTTGTTGGAATAAAGGGCATTCTCCCTGCAAGAAAGACCTGCTGTCTTGTCTTTATTTAAATCCTCAAGCCCCTTAACCTATACTGTGGAAGTGTTGTAGTGCAGGTGCTCCAACCTAGGGCTTGGGAGAGCACAAAAGGCTGGAGCTGGGCACAGCTGGCTTGTTCTCTGCCACTTATTAAGGATCCCCCACAAGTCCTGTCACGTTAAGAACCCCAGTTTTCACATCTGTAGTGACAATACAAGCCATTCACAAGCTCCTCATTGCCCTTGGAACAAAAAACAAACAAACAAAGACATGGGTCCACATCCCCACACCTCAACCCCGAATCTCATCCCTCTGTGTCCCCCCTGCTGACATTCACTGTTACCTCATCAGACTGTGGTACAAGTTCTTCATGTTGCCTTCTCCTCTGAACCAGGCTAATTTCATCCCCCGGGCAGGGCCAGTGGCCAATAAACTGCAACCAGGCTTATAAAACAGTTAGCCACCCCAGGTTCTTCATTTACGGGAAGAAAATAAATTAAAGCTCTCCCGAGCAAGCTGTCCTAAGGTCTAATCAATAATGAATGGGAAATTGGCACAGACACTCATTCTGTGCACAGTAAATGTTAGCTCTAGGCTATTCCTAGGCTAGGGTGACCTGAGACTACCTGCATCATCCAAAGATGTCACAAGAGAGGTGCAAAGACAGAAGCCAGTTAGCATCCTGCTTTGCAGATTTCTTGGTGCTGTGTTTTATTTGCTATCACAGACACATCAAAAGCCCTTCCCTCTCTTTTCCCTCCCTCCCTCCCTCCCTTTCTTTCTTCCCTCCCTCCTTCCCTCTCTCCCTTCCTTCCTTCTTTCCTTCCTTCCCTACTTCCTTCCTCTCTCCCTCTTTCCCTCCCTCCCTCCCTCCCTCCCTCCCTCTCCCTCCCACGGGTACAATAGTGGTTCACTTTAATTTTTAAAATATTTACTTAAGATTTTGTGTATGTTTATGGCTATATGCATGTGTGTCTGGGTGCCCACAGAAGTGCTGGAGTCCACTGGGACTCCACCTGATGTGGGTGCTCAAAACCAAACTTGGGTCCTCTGCAAGGGCAGTTCCTGCTCCACCACAAGCCATCTCTCCATCCCTGGGATTCACTCCATTTTATTTATTATTTTTATTTTCTGTATTTATTTTTATATATTATTTTTTCTTTATTCTTCTGGGGGAATACAGGTAGCACCAAGCCCTTCTTTTAATGTTTTTGAGATTTATTTTTATTTACATGTAAGGGAGTTGTTTGCATGTACATTTGCGGACCACGTGTGTGCAGTGCCTGTGGAAGCCAGAAGAGGGCATCAGATGCCCTGAACTTACAGACTGTTGTGAGCTGGGAACCTAACTTGGGTCCTTTGGAAGAGCAACTAGGGCTCTTAGCCGAGTTAGCACTCCAGGTCCAGTAAGACCTTCTTTACACAGTTGTGTGGTTAATCAGGATGAATATGAGTGTGTATCCGGCCTTTAGCCTTATACCTGGCTCAATGGGTAACATCTTAGTCCATGGGCACCTGTATGTGGCAAGGCTCCAAACGCAGCAATTAACCCACCCTGCCCTGCATCTTCCCTCTGCCCCAACCCTGCCTCAGCCATCCTACCTTGAGCGTGGCGCCCAACGAGCGCAGCCCAGTGGAGTGGCGTGCCAGCTTGAGCACACGGAAGATGCGCATGAGGCGGAACACTTGCACCACCTTGCCCAGGTCTCCCAGCTCCTCTCCGCTGGCTCCACGCCGGCCACCAAGCGCCGCGCCAGCCAGCAGTGTGAGATAGAAGGGCAGCACCGACACAATGTCGATGAGATTGAGCGGGTGACAGAAGAAGTTGCGCGTGCTAGGAGCCAGCAGCAGGCGCGATGACACTTCGAAGCTGAACCAGGCGATGCAGAAGTACTCCAGGCGGCGCAACACGGGGTCATCGCGCGCGTCATCTGCGCTGCGCCCCGCGGCCACTGCAGCCACCGCTGCCGCTGCCTCCCTGGCTTGGTACTCCGGCAAGCTGTGGATGCACATGGCAGCGATGGAGGCGAGCACCACGCCGATGGACACGCAGCTAAAGAGCTTGCTGGGCAGCGAGTAGCCCGGGTTCTCCATGGTGAGCCAGAGGCGGCGGCGCAGGCGGCCGCAGCGGGCCGCACCATAGCGCGCCAGCTCCCGCTGCACGTCGGAGATCTCGTCGGGACATGGGTCCACGCTGCTCGGCGTGTCGCTGTCCTCGTCCCAGGCGCGAGGCCGTGTCACTCGCCGCTCCAGATAGCGCGCGCGGCAGCACGTGGCCAGTGCGTTCTCGCCCAGGCCCCAGTAGTCGGCCTCCTGGCCGAAGGCGAAGACGCACAGCTCGTCCAGCACGTGCAGGTGGCCGGTGCGGTAGAAGTGCAGCAGGCCGAGGAAGAAGCCCGGGTGCCGATCAAAGTAGAACTCGCGTGCGGCTGCATCATAATCGTCGCACAGGCGCCGAGCCTGCTCCTCGGACGCTGCTGCCTGTAGGCGGCCCAGCCTTGTGCCCGGGAAGCGTGCTAGGGCATGCGCACTCAGCAGCCGCCTCACTCCGCCCACGTTCACGCGCAGCGCCTCATCTCTTGGCCGCCAGGGGACCCGGGAGCCGGGCCCCGGGGACTCGCTCACCATGGCTCAGGTGTTCTACCCTGTGGGTTAAAATCCTTGACTCCATCCACCAGACGGGGTGCTGAAGTGCCACCCAGCATGCAGTAGGCACCCAGATATCGAATACTCCCTGGACTCAATCAGGCCTGAGTCTGAATATCCTTCAACACCAGACTTGATGACTTTGACTAAATCACCCATCCTCCCATGCCCCATTTATTTCCTTCAGGGCACAACAAATGGGGAGGCCTACCTTAAAGGGCTCTAGAAGTGATGGGATGGCCTGTCATCAGCTAGGTGCTAGTGCAGGACATCTTTTCCTGGACGACGGTGGCTCTTCTGAACCTCAGTACCCTCCTCTGTACACAGGGCTGGTTAAGGCTTACTTCCTAGGATTATAAGAAAGTCAGTTGAGAGATTCTTGATTTTCAAAGTGCATTCCCTGAACTAAAAGAATCTTCATCATAGGAGTTGGTTTCAAGATGCAGAATCTGTCCTGATTTTGATGACTCAGAACCTCTGAGGTAGGAGCCTGCACTCTGCGCTTTTATATTTTATTATTTATTTGGAGACAGGATCTCACCATGCAGCCCACCCAGGGTTATATCAAACTTTTGATCCTTGGGCCCCAGTCTCCTGGGTGCTGGGATTCCAGACACCACACACACACACACACACACACACACACACACACACACCCCAGAGCACCCAGCCAGTCTGTTTTTAAGAAGCCTGGAGGAGGGTGATTCTAATACATGGTCAAGTTGAGAGCTACTGGGGTAGACTATGTAATAATATGCCTGAGCCCTTCACACCCGACCTTGGACTTTGGTTCTGTGTTACCTTAGCAGTTACATATTTCCTCTTAGGCTTCCCCAGCAGGATCAAAATATCCGCTTTACAGTGTGGGTAAAATGATTGTGTGGCTTAATTCCTTTTCCAGGCTCACAGAAGGAGTTTGCTAAATTATCCACCTATATCACTGTCTTCTGGAGTCAGGCAAACTGGAGTATAACTTTATCCTTAATGGACCTGGCCCTTATTTCTTCTCTAGATCTTGGTTTCCCACAGAACACACAATGCAGACAATAGCACACATTCCAGAGATAGCCAGGGGGTCCAGATGGTTTATAGAAACTGTCTGGCTTCAGTTGATACTCCAGAAATGCTAGATTCTTCCACTGTCCACTGATCTCTGATCCTCCTGGAACTGAGGGCTGCTGGCTCATACCTGCTCCATGAAACTGTGTCATCTCATGTGTACTGAGTGGTTAGTAATGCCTTCTTCCAGGGGGTGGACACACCAAGTCTTGGAGCCCAGATGCCGTTCACTAACACTGGGCTTGGCATTAGGGGGATTGGGATTCCATCCTTAGCTTGGATCCTGTGCTATGGGCATGACACCGTGGATGAACTCTTATGAGAATACATGCAAAGTCCCTGGTACACAATGGATGCTCAGTAAACATCAAAATCTTGTCCCTTCTTGTCATCATATCTGGGTTCAAATTCTGAATTTGCCTCTTCCTAGCTGTTGACCTGATCGGATCCATTGCCCCCTCTGAGCTCTGGTTTGTTCCCTCCTCTGTAGTCTGAACTATACGGGAGAGACCGAGGATTAAACAAGCCTGATGTTTATGGTAGTACCGTACCGGTCCATAATTGGCGCATCACTGGCATCCTCCACCGGCTTTGGCATCAAAACATACAGTTTTTAATTCCACTTCTACACCCATTAGAAGGGTGATAGAAGGGGATTTATCTGACACTCGCTTCCTGCTGTATGAATTCAGATAATTAATTCAACAAGCATTTCTGAGTGGCTGTCCATGGGCCTCTCAGGGAACTGGTTTAGCGCTCTTGTTACTTTTTGTGTGCACCCCTGCATGCCGGCCGCTTCCCTGAGCTCTTCATACACACACACGCAGCACACACAGTTTTATCCTGACACCACCCAGGTTTTCTAAATCCCATTTTACAGAATGTGCAAGCAAGACCATCCCTGTTAAGCTCGCTGTCCTTGAAGGTCTAGAAGGGACTCCAGCAGCAGGAATTTGCAGGCCATCCCTACCTCCCACTCTCCCAGCCACGCCCCTCCTCGAGGGAGGCTCCTTACCTGTCCTGTCCTCCAGGGAGTCCAGCGCGCCTGTCCCCAAAGGTGCCACCGGCTGTTTTCTGCCCCAGAGGCCCCCTGCGCCTCACTACTGCGGAGGCCCCGCGGCCCCCTCCTTTCCTGTGTTCCCGTCCCCCGCGGCTGAGGCCGCATCGATCGCTGCCGGGGGAGGGAGGGAGGCCGCGGGCGGCCTGGCGGCCGGAGGCGGTGGTTTCTATTCTTGCCTGGGATGGATGGGGGCCTAACAGCTGGGAGCATCCTTCAAAGTCAGAGCCTGGAGGGATGGGACGGTTAGGGAATGGGGACACCCTGGAGAAAGGTTTTAAAGCTCTGACCCAGGAATGACAGAGACCACGATTTGTTTAATTTAGTGATTAATATGTGACAAGCACTGTTTTAAGTGACTTAGCCCAGGCATTTTTTGACACAAACGTGGCAGGGGCAAGCTCTTAAGCTTCTGCCTTAATAGGTGACATCCAGGTACTTGCTCAGACCTTGGAGGCCTGACTTGTGAGGTTGGGGAGGTGCTTCATCTGCTTGGAGACCCAGCTGTGCGAGCATAGGCTTTCGTGCACCCTTCTCTCCAAGTGTGCTGCGAAGCCAGAAACCAGTCCTTCTGTACCGGAGGCTCAGAACGCCCACTCACCTACAGAATCCTGCTTCCTTCCTTCCAGGAGGGCTGGGGTGGGGGGCGTCGGGACGGGGAAGAAGTGGGAAGACAACCTTGCAGAATACTTAATAACCCCCACCCTCCGGCATTTCTTGGGTGGTTGCTGTGTGTGTCCCTTCACTCATAACAGTAGTCACCTCTATTGACTGGGGCCTCCCGTGGGCCAGCAGGAGCCTCGTCCCATCATTCAACATGTGACTGTGCCTGTTGGCTGGGTGAGATGTTATTGTCAGCTGGAGGCATAAGGCTAGGTCACATGGCTGAAGTTTACACCAAGTGTACAACAGATAAGATGTGAGCACTTCTGTCATTTACAAGTTCTGGACTGGGAATGAGGTTCAGACAGTAGAGTGTTTGCCTGTTGAGCATGAAGCCCTTGGGGCTGATGGTCAAGTACTGTGCAAACCAGGCTCTGTTGCTTAGAGCTGTAATCCCAGCAGTCAGGACCCAAAGGTGGGGGGCGGGGCCAGAAAGGGGAGGAACACTGAAGTTCAAGGTCATCCTTGCTTGGACAGTGAGTTCTAGGTCGGTTGGGATACATAAGATACTCTCTCAGTTTGTTTGTTTGTTGTTTTGCTTCTGATAGCAACATTAAAAAAGTAAAAAGAGGGCTGGAAAGCTGGCTCAGCAGTTAAGAGCACTGACTGCTCTTCTAGAGGTCTTGCTTGAGTTCAATTCCCAGCACCCACATGGTGGCTCACAACTGCTTATGACTGTAGCCCCATGGGAGCTGATACCCTCTTTCGGTATGTAGACAGACATGCAGACAAAATGCCACATACATAAACAAGTATCTTTTTTTAAAAGATGAGCTTTTAAAAATAATGTATTTTATTTAACCCAATATGTCCCAAATATAATTTTAACATGATATCAATAAAGAAATTAATAATGAGATACTTTCTATATTCACTTTTGGGCTGAGGTTTCAAAATGCAGTATACTAGTATTTTTTTTAATTGCAATGTTACAAATTACTGTAATTTCAACAGCTCCAATCTTACAAACTTGTCATCTCACCATTTCTGTAGATCATAAATCTGTGAATGGCATGGCTAGACTCTATAGTCATTTATGTGTGTTTCAATGTTTGTGCACGTGTGTCTATGCTGTTAGTGTATGTGTGCATATATGTGTGTGTTAGTATATGTATGTGTCTATGCTGTTAGTGTGTGTATGTGTGTATTAGCATATGTATGTGTCTATGCTGTTACTGTGTGTGTGTGTGTTAGTATGTTATATGCATATGCTGTTAGTGTGTATGTGTGTCAGTATATGTATGTGTCTATGCTGTTAGTGTGTGCATGTGTGTGTCAGTATATGTGTGTTGGAATATATATAGGTATATGCTGTTAGTGCATGTGTGTGTTGTGTGTGTTAGTATATGTGTGTATAATGTATATGAGTGTTGGTGTACTTGTATGTGTGTTAGTATAAGTGTGTGCTTGAGTGTGTGTGCTTGTGTATGAGACTTGCTGATGCGCTTCTAGAGTATGGTGATGACATATCAATTCTGCGATTAGATTATGTAAGGTTGTGACTTCTGTTGACTTTCATGAAGCAAGTTACCCTTCTGGAAGAGCAGGAAAATGAGGGTGACTTCTGGCCACTGCCATCTGGGTGTTTGTTTCCTTTGCCCTCACAGAGCTGAAAAGCTGCCAGCAAATGCTCGAAAGCTGAGGCTGTAACTGAGGCTCCCATAAGACTCCCACCCAGGCTGAATGTGGCTGTGGCTTCAGAAAGCTCAGGACCTGTGTTGGATCTCTTAACTCAAGGACACTATGACCTAATAAGTGTGTATTGTTTAATCCACGTCATTCATGGTGACTTGTTATTTGTTGATAAGGGCTTTGCCACTGAATTCCTGTGTGACCTTGAACCAAGTGTCTCTTCTTGGCTGTTTCTCCTCCTTATGTGCAAAATGAGGATTGGATTTCCCTTCTGGATTTCAGAGCGGGTTAGCACGTGCTGTGCCATTCCCACAAATAACCTTCCCTGTCCTTTGCTTTCTCAGACTAAGTTAGCTGCAGGAACAGAAATGGGTTCCCAGTGGCTACACTAGAGAAGAGCCTGTCTTTTGCTGTAGGATGCAGCTGACACAACTGCCCTGAGCAATTCTGCAGATCAGGCTCCTTGGGACTCTCTCCTCCACTCTCTGGTGGGACCCTTGTCCCAGGAGTGGAGGACACTGGTGTTTTATGCACGGCCCCTTGAGGACCCGGTAGCCTTTTGTGCACAGTG